TTATGTATTAATAAGGCACTATAAACTAAGTAATGCAATAATAATGAAACTCCAGAATTAAAAAAATGTATATATTTTTCCAAAATATGCTAACTTCTGAAGGTAAAATTTCAAAAGCATGTTTCTGCTTAAAATACTGACAATGAACTGTGCATACGTTCTTCATTGTAGAGAATGGCGCCTGATTTAACTGTATATTTCCAGTTCTTCTCAAAACTCAGGTTTGGGGGGAACAGATGCAGTTTTACTTAAATACTCAAGAATTATGATGTTTCTTCTATTATATCAATAAACTTGCCAATAAATAAAGCTGAACCTTGGAAACAGAAAGCAGCAAAATCCATTACAATACAAAATGTAAGAGACCATCTTTAGATCTCCCATATATGGCAAGAAAAATCAGCAATTAATCAACAAAGATTAAAGAAATATGGCTGAATCTCAAAATAGAGAGAGGTTAAACCAGTTTCCGAAACATATTCTAAAATAAAATTAAGGGACTATTTCTCACCCATCACACAATAAATTTATGTATTAAGCCTATTGACTTAAACATATATGCTACTGGCCACATGAATTTACTGTCATAGTTAACAGCTGCTGTCACCTCTGATTCACCTTATCTGTTATTAAGGATTTCTCCAACTATAAGGTTCATTATAATTTTGTGCATTTTGAAAGAACATCTTGCCTCAATTCACACCTATTTTATGTTCAACATTTTTAAAGTTCAATGATTTTTTTTAGAAGAAATTCAGTTGCTTTCAATTGAAAGTAAGTAGCAAACAAATTTATTGCCAAAGAATAGAGTTAAGCTCCATTAAAAGACACATGGTCCAACTTGAGCTGTACAGAATCCTTGGGAACATCAATACTCAGAGGGATTCTCAGATTTTTTCATTTCACCAAGTTGTGAGAAAAAAAAAAATCTAGCCAGATGTGGTGATGGAGCCTTTAATCCTGAGACACAGGTGGTAATGGCATGAGCATCACTGAAATGAGGTCATTTTGGAGTACTTAGCAGGTATTTTGGTAGCCAGGGATGATTTGAGACTGAAACATGATTTATCTGGATGTAATAATGCTGTTTAGAAAAATAAAATTTTAATCTCTGTAATTTATTTTCTTGTGAAACTATAAGTAGTTTCATTATGTAGTCAACATCCATTTCAACAGTGAAAATAATATTTCACTGTATGCAGTTGTAAGAAACAAATTTCTGGGAGGAATTAGCCTAGGAAGAAAATAAATCAATATTCTGCCTACTCTGCTTGATAAGATGAGCTAAAGCATTTGACACAATAAAACAACCCCAAGCTATCATTTTTATAATTGGGGTTCCTATCTACTGTGTATTAGAAAAAAACAATAATTTAATGTGTTTAATGTTTGGTTATACAAGATAAAATAAAAAATGGAAACCACAAAATTTGAGCCCAGGTCTATAGGTGAGCTATCTTGGGAATTTTTGCATTTTTATGTCATCCATATAAATGGGTCCTTTCTCTGCAGGAAGTATTCCCACAAAAACTTTATGCAAGTGGTATGTTTCCAATAGATATTCAAAATTAAATGAAAAAAATCAATAAATTGCTATCGATTTTACAAGCCATTTTCTGGGACACAGAAATGACTTTTTGTATTAAGTGTTTAACACAGTTTTGGGTCATTTATGGTAATTCGATGTATTTATTATTAATTGGTAACTGAGAATGTTCTAATTCTGTGTTGAAAATAGAACTTGGCTGCTATGTAAAAGAATATTATCTCTGGGCTTTGACAGATCATGGGACATCATTTTCACTGAAGGGAATGTCTAAAAATAGACCAGAAAGTTTGCACTGTTAATGATAAAAAGTGAGCTTATTTCCAAATTGTCAAAGTGATTCTCTTCCATGAATTTATAACATGAAAAGCATTTCCATTCAAGGTTAAACTGAAGTGGAGGTCTGGCAGGTGCTCAGAACTATTTTTGGCCTTCCATAATCTACAAGTGAGTCAATTCATGGCTTTCATAATGTTGAAATTATTATTTATTATTTCTTTCACCACATAATCCTTTTATTAATCTCTAGTTAAAAGATAATGGAAACAATAGGTATTTTGTGACCATCACTAAAAGTAGTAAAAAAAAATAAAATTACAAGGCCTTTTTAAACATCAGACAATGTCTAACGACTGTCCTTTTCCCCCATTGAAGAGACAAATTCACAGGTGAATATTGTGAGCTGCATTTTATTCAACACAAATATTTTGTTTATATTATTTTGATTTAGTTTCCCTGTTTTCACAAATAAGGTAGTCATTGAAAATTTGGAAAATAAAATCATTATTTTCTAATAAAAATATTAGATAATGCCATTCATTCAACCATACTTTGAAAGGTCAAATGATGGCTGCATTTATTAGGAGTAAAGTCCTCTTAGGTGTAGAGGTAACTCTAGAACCTACAAGATAAAAGCTAGGATTTCATTATCTGCCTCAGCTACATAGAGAGTTCAAACGAATCACAGGCTCTGTGAAACTCTCTCAAAACCACACTAAAACAAAATGAATAAAGTAAATAAATAGGAGACTATGTGACCTTTTAACATTTTTCCTCTCAGATGAAGTTGTTCATTTTTATAAGAGGCTGAAAACCTGTAATGAGGCAATATCAAGAACACTGAAACAATTACCTGTAAGTTTTAGTGAAATTTGACAAGTACTCTCAACATTGCATTAAACTGGTAAAATTAAATTTAAGAGTTCAAGAACTGAATTTAGAGTATAAAGAGGCGTCTTAATGATTACGAACACTGATCCTCCAGAGGACCTGGGTTTGTTTCCCAGCATCAACCCAGGTGCTGTTAATTTTCCTTAACTCCTTTTCCAGAGGTTCCATACCTCTCCTCTGGACTTCAAATTGTCACACATGCATGCAGTGGGTTAACATACATGCACATTAAGTAAAAACAGTTCTTTAAAGTACTTAATTTACTTTCAGCTTCCATAAATTTTCTACTGACTCTAACAACACCCAAGGTCATATATGCTTTATGACAAAATTCCAATGCATGATAAAACAGGATCAGATGAATGGGGAGGAGGTCCTCCCCTATCAGTGGACTTGGCAAGGGGCACAGTGGAGAGGAGGGAGGGAGGGAGGGACTGGGAGGGAATGAGGGATCGGGACACGGCTGGGGTACAGAGTTAATAAAATGTAACTGATAAGAAAAAAATAAAATACGAAAAAAAATTCCAAATCATGACTAGGTTTACTGTCTGTGCCATGACTGCTGAGGATGAGGTAGAAGAACTGCAATCCAGGTGTCAAGCTGGGCTTTATAAGAAGAACATGCCTTAAAAAATACTCTCAAGAAGAAAAAGAAACCCTCCCCTACCAGTGGACTTGGGGAGGGAAGTGTGTGGAGAAGGGGGAGGAAAGAAGGGATTGGGAGGGGAGGAGAGAGGGAACTAGAGGGGGGATACAAAGTAAATGAAGTATAATTTAAAAAATTTAGAATACCGGAAAGAAAATTTAAAATGTATGTATAGATCTTATTCTTTTATATAATATAAGATTGTGCTTATATGTATACACATATGATACATACATACAGCACATGTGTGTAGACAATTTAAATCACTGTGTAATGTGTATATAGTATATTACTAGTATACTGTACTCAATATTTTTTGGATTAATGAATAAATGAACTTAAAATCTAAAAAAAAAAAAATATAATCTCAACATTTTTAAAGTGAAGGCAACTTACACATACCTTGTAAGCACCTTACCAAGTTTTAAAGGATAGTTTTGGCTAAATGGTGATTGACCATCCTTGGCTGCCTGAAACCCTGCCTGAAAACATAGACAAAGAAGAAAACAAATACAAACTCAAAACAACTACAATAAAGTATGCAGTACTTCAAAATCTTCCTAATTTAGTAGATTACAAATTTCTTTTTTTTTTTGTATTTTATTTTTTTCTTATCAGTTACATTTTATTAACTCTGTACCCCAGCCGTGTCCAGATCCCTTATTCCCTCCCAGTCCCTCCCTCCCTCCCTCCCTCTTCTCCACCGTGCCCCTTGCCAAGTCCACTGATAGGGGGACCTCCTCCCCATTCATCTGATCCTGTTTTATCAGGTATCTTCAGGACTGGCTGCAAAGCTCTCCTCTGTGGCTTAACAGGACTGCTCCTCCCTTGGGGGGTGGGGAGGCCAAAGAGCCAGTCATTGAGTTCCTGTTAGAAATAGTCCTTGTTCCCCTCACTATGGGAAACCAATTGGTTACTGAGATACCACAGGCTACATCTGAGCAGAGGTTCTAGGTTACATTCATACATGGTCCTTGGTTGCATGTCAGTCTCAGAAAAGACCCTGTGCCAGATATCTTTGGTCCTTGTGGAGCTCCTATCCTTTCCTCATCAGACTAACTCCCCTTCTTTCTTATGATTCCCTGTACTCTGCCAAAGGTTTGGTCATGAGTCTTTGCTTTGAAAACACTGCTAGTTAGAGTCTTTCCAATGCTTCTTTTAAGTGCTTTAAGAAGACACATAGAAAAATAAGCGGTGCACTAGCTAATTGTGAGACCATTCCTTTTCCTTTGTTGTTGTTCTTTTCTCTGTCTTCAGTACAATCATTTTTAATATACTCATTATCACTGACCATCATGTTTAATATGACTGTTTGTTCTGGAATAAGTTTAATACTTGGCTATGATTTTAAAAAGTAAATTAAAAGGCACTCAACATTTCATTTGCAAAGGTATATGCAATTGCCCGTGACTTATATAATAGTTCCAAACACATTCACAAACACGACAGTCCTAATGGAATAGTTAGAGCCCCAAAGTGTTTCTATAACAATCCCATTTGAGTAAAACTCCAAGAAGCTTACCGTCAGTTTACAATCATGGTTTTGTCATATCAATAAGAGAATTTTCTGTAACTTCAAGAAATAAAGAAAGATATAATTTCAGAGACGGCTGAATTTAAAAGTCTCTTTCCTGACAGATACTCTGTTGACCGGCACACTGATATGGACCGGATTTTCAGTATTCACTCAGAAAATGGCTCTATATTCACCCTGAAGCCTCTGGACCGGGAATCATCCCCTTGGCATAACATCACCATTACAGCCACAGAGATAAGTAAGTAGTAGGTATATCCATCCGAGCATGTTTCACCAAATTACTAAACAATATAGAGACTTTTAAGAAATTCTCATAATAATGGCAATATCTAAGAAAGGAAATGAAATAGGGGACATTAGTATTTTTGTAGGATGTTATTTAAAGATTAATGATTCGTTTTCAATATGCTTTACATTCAGTAATGGATTTGAATTGCACCTAACCTCATAAAAGTCATACATGAACTAATGGACATTGTCTATTTACTTCCTTATTCTCCAGTATATTTTTTTCTCTTTTACCATGCTCTGTTTTCCTAGAAAAAGTAATATATTTGTCAGCCATACAAATGAGCTATAGAATACAGGGAACTGATCAATCTCTAAGTTACTGCTGCTTGGCCTTACAGCTTCTTTTATGCATGGCACTGAACCCTTACGTGAAGTTCTTCTTACAGATAACCCAAAACAAAGCAGCCAAATTCCTGTCTTCATCAGAATTCTTGATATAAATGATCACGCTCCGGAATTTGCGATGTACTATGAAACATTTGTTTGTGAAAATGCAAAATCTGGGCAGGTAAGTACATTTATTATAAACTTCACAGACATGTAATTTGGGAAAGCCAGAATCACTGCTTTGCTTTCATGCCATTTGTTGTACTATTATTGTATTTCTTTTATGTGCACTCGCCAAACCACTCACAGTGATCTTTAAAATACAACTTTCTAAAATTCTTTTTTCATCACTATAGGAAAGAAGTGCATGTATAGCATTCTAAAAGCTCTCGCATAGAGTTATAATTAACTGATTTTAGGTCATATTTATAAACATCTTAATATATTTTAGATAAATATTGATATATATTAAATATTAGTCTTAACAGACAGGTGCAATTCTTTCCTTGTTCATGTTTTGCTACATTAAGTTGCTCATAAGAGCAAGACTTGATCTTAATTTTTTTCTGTGGTTTAAATTTTTTCATACTCTTGAAATACAAACATTACTCTATAAGACAGTTAAAAATATGTGAACACTAATACTTAATATTCCTATGTGTTAATTATTTTGTCTTATGAGTTGCACTTTTTCAGTAAAACAATTTTCTACTGAGGAAACAAGATTCTAATTGAGTACAAATAAACAGGTTGAGAAAACAGGGTTTTAGAAAAAGCATGATATTAACGGAATTAAATGATTTTTCTTAGTGTAGGATGTTTGAGTCATCAAAAAGTAGAAAAAGATGTTCTTGAGAGCTGTATAATTTTCATTATTGAGTAAATGTCTAAGTGTTAGCTTTCATGAAATCAATATATCCATAAAAGTGATTTTCTGAAAGTTATATATAAGTTCAAATTCTTAATTAAAAATATTAACATAGAATACACCAATAAAACATACCTACTTAAAAAAAACCTCTTGGTTTAAAAAGCATTGTGTCTATTTTGAAGGATTAAATTAATGAATATGTTTTGGTTTCAGCTGATTCAAACAATAAGTGTCATGGACAAAGATGACCCTCCTCGAGGACACAAATTCTTCTTCGAGCCAGTGCCAGATTTTCCTCTTAACCCAAACTTCACCATTGTAGACAATAAAGGTAAAGGGCATTTATAAAACTACACAGCATATACTGTTAAGGTGAAGAAATGAAACTGAATATGAAGGAAGGTATGGCAGCCTTTGTGACATCCCAGCACCTTATAAGTGATCTCATGAACATCAAGTTCAAGGTCATTGTCCACTTAAGGTGATTGAGACAAGTCTGGGATACATGAGAACACATCTTTAAAAACAAAACAAATATATCTGGGCACAGGGGCTTGTCTGAGACTGGTTCTCCAACCAAGGACCATGCATGGATATAACCTAGAACTCCTGCTCAGATGTAGCCGATGGCAGCCCAGTATCCAAATGGGTTTCCTAGTAAGGGGAATAAGGACTGTCTCTGGCATGAACTCTGTGGCTGGCTCTTTGACCTCTCCACCTCCATGGGAGAAGCAGCCTATCTAGGCCACAGAGGAGGACATTGGTGAGACCTGATAGGAGAGGGGCAGCTAGGAGATGAGGGAGGGAGGGTGGGATTGGGAGGGAATGAGGTAGGGGGATACAGCTGGGATATAAAGGAAATAAACTGTAATTAATATAAAAAATAAAAATTTAATTCAAAAAACAAAAACCAGAGAAAAGAAAAAGAAAAAAAAAAAAACAGAAAGTAAGGTAAAGAGGTGAGGAGGAGACCATGGAAGAAAGAAAAGAGGGAGGAAAATGGGTGAATATTTTTCCTAATAATTATTTTTCTTCTTCTTCAGATAATACAGCAGGAATCATAACACGGAAGGATGGGTACAGCCGCACCAAAATGAACATGTACCTACTGCCGGTTTTGATCTTTGACAATGATTATCCTATTCAGAGCAGCACTGGCACACTCACGATCCGTGTGTGTGCATGTGATAACCAGGGGAACATGCAGTCCTGCACGGCAGAGGCCCTGACACTTGCTGCTGGCCTGAGCACAGGAGCACTCATCGCAATCCTCCTTTGTGTGGTCATCCTGTTGAGTAAGCTCTGCATCTCCCAGTGCTCCTCTTCCCACTGTCTTCTTTTCTGTCCTCAGGCATCGCATGTGAAATTGTACATAGTCAACATTTTGCTGAAATTGTTGTCAATGTGACAAATCACACCTCCCCATTTTAGTTTGTGGGGGAAAGAAGATGCTTAAAGCTTTAAAATAAAGATATACAAACACAAGTATTACACCCAACATGGAGCTGCCATGGACTACACATGGCCATAGTTCGAAGGACTTTTAACTTAATGATTAATTTAATCTTGTCATATCTGTTCAACAAAGTAATAGCTAAATAACATACCACATACAAACCCTTCTTTTTATGTTTGTATGACTGTTTGTACTTGAATAGAGGCCACACATGAACATGCAATCATGTGTGGAAGCCTAATGTTCATATCAGTTTCATTTATGCATTGCTTTCCAAGCTGTTTATTGTACCCGAACTTGAGTTCACAGATTTGTGAGACTAGCTAGTCAGTAGAGCTCTGTGATCCTCCACTCGCAGTTTCTTGCAATTGGAATAATGGGATGTTATCATTATATGTGGCCTCATTTATGTCTACTGGGGAATCTGAGCTAATAGCCACGTTCATGTGAAGCAAGCTAATTACCCATTGAGCTGTGTCCCCCAACTTCTGAATAGTGTTTCTAAGATGTATTTATTTGTATTCTAACATGGATTTTTCTACCTTAAAGTCTTTATTCTAATCTCAAAACCAAGAGTACTTCAACATTAAAAATAGTTTTATTACCAATATAAAATATACAAGAATATATCAGACACTAAAGTAACCAACTTAAAACACTTTTCTCAATGAACTATTTTAACACACACACACAATACAAACTAAGAAACAAATAGATAAAAAAAAGACCCTAGCTTTTAAAAATGTCATTGTGAGATGATGATCACAGATGCCCCTCTCAGTATTTTCCAAATTAAAGCGTGTTTCTGTTAGCACACACTAAGCACACACTAACACAGCAATGATTTAATTCAATTAAACAGTTGGTTTCAGTGCAAGCCACTCCAAAAGTTATTTCTATAAAATACCAAAATACTGACACTTAGAAGAGGAAAGCAGGCCAAGTGTATGTTCTAATATTCATGTATGCTGGCTCCTTTTCAGCATAAATCCTTTCAAGCATTCTAAATAAAATCCCTTTGGCCAGATATAAATGTGCAACAGCACTAGCGGTTTGAGAAAACATTTGTTTCTGTTAGTATCATCCAGCTATTGAGAGAGAAATGGACAGACAGACAAACACAGACAGATAGACAGACAGACACAGAGAAACACACACACACACACACAGAGAGAGAGAGAGGTTTCATGTGTAAGGCAACATTACTGTCCAGTTGAGAGCTCCCTTAAGCTTGACTGTAAAAATAAAATCTTGGGCAGGGATTTTTGTAGATTTTTATATAGAGACCCTTCTGTCACTATGATAAATTCTATAGATTTAATTATCATAACATCTTAATTCAGAAGAATATTTTGAGTGTAGCTAGGGCCAAAGCATTTTAGCATTAAGATGCCCTACGATTAATAACAGGTTCTATGAAAAACCAAAACAAGTAATAAAAATCAGTAGGAAGAAAGCACAAAATATTGAAATAGTGTTTAAGTAAATTAAAGTTTATAAAGTTTTTAAAATACCTGTCAAATGATAATGCTATACAAAATGTCTGTGATTTCTTTTGTTTCACTATTCATATACACTGCTCCTCTAGTTAGGAATATAATATTAATAATGAAATTAATATTAATATAAATTATAACTATTACTTAATAAAAATATTGATCCATTTTCCTATCTAATAGCCTGAATTGCAGTACCATACACCAAATGTTTATTTTTTTTTTTACCCAGTACATGAAAAAGATATTTATTTTGGTTTTTGCTGATTATATTATTATTATTATTTTTATTATTATTTAAAATTTATTTATTTTTTTATCCCAGTTGTAGGCCCCTCTATCATCTCCTCCCTATCTCACCCTTCCTTCCTTTTCCTCCTTTATCCTTCTCCCTAGTCCAATGATAGGTGCAGTTCTCATTCCCTACATCTGACCCTAGCCTATCAGATTCCATCAGAACTGCCTGGATCCTCTTCCTCTGTGAGTTGACTAAGTCCCCAATCCAGGGAGAAGTGATAAAGGGGCAGGCAACAAAGTTTATATCAGAGAATATCTCTTCTCCTCTTACTAGGAACTGACATGGGACTGAGTTGTCTATAGACTACATATGAGCAGAGGGGTCTAGGTCCTCTCTATGCATAGTCTTTGATTGATACATCAGTCTCTGAAGTCCCCCCTGGGACCTACATTTTTTGGCTTTGTTTACCTAATAGAACAAAAAGAAAAATATATATGAATTTCTCAAATATCCACTTATGTGAAGTATAACAATTCATATATGTAGGGAAGTTTTAAGATAGGATTACTTATCTATCATTTATTTACAGCATATAAAAAGCAAAAAAAACATTCATTTAATTTAAAAATTCAAATAAGTCCATTTTAATACATAACTCATAGTCAGTGAATGTTATAACTATTTCATTCTTAATTTTATTCTCCTTTAAATTATAGTTTTATATATTTTAAAATAGTAGTGTATTTCTTTTTTGTTGTCTTTATTTATTTATTTATTTATTTATTTATTATTTTTTTTACATTTTATTAAATTTTTTATTAATTACACTTTATTCATTTTGTATCCCCCCCATAAGCCCCTCCCTCTTTCCCTCCAGATCCCACCCTCCCTCCCCTTTCTGCATGCATGCCACTCCCCAAGTCCACTGATAGGGGAGGTTCTCCTCTCCTTTCTGATCTTAGTCTATCAGTTCTCATCAAAAGTGGCTGCATTGTCCTCTTCTGTGGCCTGGTAGGGCTGCTCCCCCCTCAGGGGGAGGTGATCAAAGAGCAGGCCAATCAGATTATGTCAGAGGCAGTCCCTCTTCCCTTTACTAGGTAACCCACTTGGACACTGACCTGCCATGGGCTACATCTGTGCAGGGGTCCTAGGTTATCTCCATGAATAGTCCTTGGTTGGAGTATGAGTCTCTGGGAAGTTCCCTGTGTTCAAATTTTCTTGTTCTGTTGCTCTCCTTGTGGAGTTCCTGTCCTCTCCAGCTCTTACTATTTCCCACTTCTTACATAAAATTCCATTCACTCTGCCCAACAGTTGGCCATCAGGCTCAGCATCTGCTTTGATACTCTGCAGGGCAGAGGCTTTCAGAGGCCCTCTGTGGTAGGTTCCTAGTTTGTTTCCAGTTTTCTTCTTCTGGCTTTCAGAGGCCCTCTGTAGCAGGTTTCTAGGTTGTTTCCTGTTTTCTTCTTCTTCTGATGTCCATCCTCTTTGCTTTTCTGGATGGGGATTGAGCATTTAGTTACGGTCCTCTCTCTTGCTTGGTTTCTTTAGATGCATAGATTTTAGTGGGTTTGTCCTACATTGTATGTCTATGTGAGTGAGTATATACCGTGTGTGTCTTTTTGCTTCTGGGACAACTCACTCAGGATGATCCTTTCCAGGTCCCACCATTTACCTGCAAATTTCATGATTTCCTTATTTTTCATTGCTGAGTAATATTACCAAACTCATTTTTTGAAGCCACAGTCACCTTGGTACCTAAACCTCACAAAGACTCAACAAAGAAAGAGAATTTCAGGCCAATCTCCCTTATGAACATTGATGCAAAAATACTTAACAAAATACTTGCAAACCGAATGCAAGAACACATCAAAGATATTATCCACTATGACCAAGTAGGCTTCATCCCAGGTATGCAGGGGTGGTTTAATATACTGAAATCCATCAATGTGATCCACCATATTAACAAACTGAAAGAAAAAAAAAACACATGATAATCTCCCTAAATGCTGAAAAAGCATTTGACAAAATCCAACATTCATTCATGTTTAAAGTATTGGAGAGATCAGGGATACAAGGCACATATCTAAACATAGTAAAGGCGATATATAGTAAGCCTATAGCCAACATCAAAGTAGTGTATTTCTTTTAATATGTGCTAGATGAATCTGAATAAAGGTTCATCTATTTTTTGAGGAATTTATTTGAAATTTGCAATGAACCTAGAGATGTAGGACACGGGCAGAATGCTTTCTTACCATGCTCAAAGTCCAAAACTGCAAAGAAAATAGTACAATATAATAAAATTAAATCATAGTTCAACAAAAGCTGTGGAAAATTTGGAGCTAAATTTTATTATTTTCAAAGAAATATACCTTTCGTCTCCCCTTTCTTCTCTCCTTCTCAGACAAGGACTCAGTATGCAGCCCAAGCTGGATTCAGAGTCTTACTGCTTGAGGCTCTAAAATGCTGGAAATACAAACATGCATAATCAAGACTGGCTCAGAAATAATTTTGTCAAAACAGTGGATTTCCTAAAATTAATGAAATGCAGTTTACTTTCTTCTCTCTTGTTTAAATAAATTTGTGAGGAAATTAATTTCCTGATTTGACTTTTTTTTCTGGGCCATAACTTAAATCTCAGCATTTGAAAAGCAGAGGCATGCAAGTTCAAAGCCAGCCAAAAGAACAAACCACAAGTACTTTATAAAATCTACAATGACTCAATTATTATCAAGTTTGGCAAAAGTGAGGAGGGACACAGGTAGAGGCTTGAGGGACAGCCAGTTTAACCAATTACTGAGTTCCTAGATCACTGAGGTAACCTGACTCACAAAACAGTGTAAAGAGGGACCAAGGAAGACCAGCCAACATTAAGCTGCAGAGTCCACACACGTGTGCCCAAACACACACACACACACACACACACACACACACACACACAGAGAGAGAGAGAGAGAGAGAGAACAAATGCAGAAATAAATGCATACACATTATGCTTAATTTGTATGAATATAAGGAAAAGATGGTTGTCAAATGTTTGCATTAAACTTCCCTTCTATAATGAGAACATTACAATTTTAGTACACGGGGAAGTGCTTAATTACATCTATAGAAGAGAACACTACAATATAAAATCATAATTTTTGTCCCAAATTTTGAATGTAACTTTGTAAATAATGAACAGCCTCAATAAGAAGTAGCTTAAGTTGACCTATGAGGGAGTACAAGCTAAGCTTGATTTGAAGTTTGAATATTATATTCAAGTTTTAGAATCGCATTTCAGGGTTTCCAGAACGCATTCAAAATCACACCAGTGAAGAAATTCAGTTAAATCTTTGATCAATATTTAATAAGTGAGTATAGTCACTCATATTATATGTGTTTGACAAATATATGTATACTTATATGCATCTAAATGAAAGATAATTTACATAATTAACCCTGTATGTTTACTATTCACTTTGATGATGACAAATGTATCATTACTAATTTTCTTAAATTTAAGATGAATGTGTATTTGGTGAGAATAAGATTCTAGTTATTTTTAGTTGACCAAGTGCAGTAATCATAAATATTTTTTCAAAGGCAGTTGTCCCTAGGTTTTGAAATGTAAACTAATACTTTACTATATTCCATTCTTCTTTTTTATTTTAATTTTTTCTTTATTTATTCCAAATGATGCAATGTGTGCATTTATTAACCCAATAGAATAGTTACCACGTGTCTTCAGAAGAAAACCCAAGCTTCCCATGTGCTAGAATTGTACATATTAAGTGTAATCATGGAATCTCACTATCCCTTTCTCTCTATCAATAGCTCTAATTGTGCTGTTTGCTGCACTGAAGAGGCAACGGAAAAAGGAGCCTTTGATCATTTCAAAGGATGATGTCCGGGACAATATTGTGACCTATAATGATGAAGGTGGAGGAGAGGAGGACACGCAGGCTTTTGACATCGGAACATTAAGGAACCCGGAAGCAAGAGAAGACAGTAAACTTAGAAGAGACGTCATGCCTGAAACTATTTTTCAGATAAGGAGGACTGTACCCCTGTGGGAAAATATTGATGTACAAGATTTTATCCACCGGAGATTAAAAGAAAATGACTCCGATCCAAGTGCACCTCCTTACGACTCCCTGGCCACATACGCCTATGAAGGGAATGATTCTGTAGCCAATTCTCTCAGCTCGTTAGAATCTCTAACCACTGATTGTATCCAGGATTATGATTACCTTAGCGACTGGGGACCTCGGTTCAAAAAACTTGCAGATATGTATGGGGGCAATGACAGTGACCGGGACTGAGTCCCGAATGACTTGACCAACATTAATGAAAATACTGTCTTTGGTACCAGATTGAGTGGCCTGTATTATCCTTTTTTCGGAGAACATTTTAAAAAATCAACTCCAAACAATGCATAAGTGTTGTCTTAGTAAGGGTTTGCTTAATCAGTAAGTTTCCGTGAATGAATATGAATGACATAGATTTTAAAACAGTAATAACAACCTGTTCACCCTCTTTGCCTAATAAGCTTGGAAAAATATATCACATCAATAATCAATAAAAATTCTTGAGAGGCTTTTTTGTGCCTTGTCTTAGAATAGGAAATTTATATATGTTTTCTTAACTAATTGTCCGTCACATATACTATGATATTAAACATTGTGAAACTGCTTTGTAAATTAATATGAAAGAAAATATACCTAATGAAATAGGAGTGACTATTACTGCCATATTTATTTAGTTGAAAGAAGTCTTCGTGTTAATTCACTCATATTTTTATAAGTGTATATTTATATTTTTGTATTTTTATGAAATAAAGTAATATTTATAAAAATAAATTTCATGTTACTTAATTCCTTGGAGCAGCTGATCTCACAACAGAAGTGTTTTAGCTCTCTGAGTGTAAAACACAATTTACTCAGGGAAAAGCAGCTGAAAATTCACTGTAGAAGCTGCCTATGTAAAGTAAGAAAACTCTAGAGGTTAGCTCTGCTATGAATTGTCTTTTTTCTGTTTCAATATCTAAGTGTGGATAAATGTTTATTGAAATACTAATGTGTAGATTACTACTAATGTGATAGAATATGGGATCAATTTGGAATATAAATTATTATATATGTGGATGTAGACAATAAACTAAGTTTTTGCAAGATTTATCAAACAATGCATTGTATTTGAATAGATGGAATTTAAGTCATAGATGCTGCAAAGATAGGAAAAAGGCCCAGCTTAATCATTTTATAAATAATTGTTTTAAATGAGAAATAATAATCATGAATGTGTCTGTGCATGTGTTTGTGTTTATGTGTGTCTGTGCACTCATGTACATGGGCGCAAGCTCACATTTGGTCAGAAAATTCATTGAATATATTCTCAGTTCCTGATAACATATTAAGAATATGTACTGATCTCTACAGTTTCACACTGGACAAAAAAAAAAAAATCACGACTGAGAAGGTGACATGAACACAAAGTCAGAATACTATGTGAGAAGCTTTTTGAAATTGGTGCCTGCAAGGGATAGGAAAACCCATTTTCTCCAATGGTGGTCAATGGTCATATCAACCACACTCCAGAGAAGACCTCATGTTCATGATAGAAGGAAAGCTAAAGCAACTCCATGTATTTTATACGTTTTTTATGTTCTGTTTTGTTCTGATTTGTTTTGATGCTTGCTCTTTTTCTTATTATTTTGAAGTTTTGTCTGTTTTGATTTTTTTTTTTTAGCTTTTTTAAGATAATGACAAAGAGCATGGAGTTGGGTGAATAGCAAAGTAGAAAGGTCTGGGAGAGTTTGCAGGAGGAGAAAACATGATAAAAATATTTTGAACTAATAAAATTAAAGTGTATATGGGCAAGCATCAATATTGGCATTTAGTAATTTTTTTTTTATTTTTTAAGGAGGAAGAGTTTATTTGGGATCACTGTTGAAAAAGAAGCAGAACATAGGACATAGAAGGGAAGTCATAATGGTGGGAATAAGAAGACTAAAGTTAATAGATTTTGAGAAAATTTTTGAAAGAATTAAGGACTAGTGGAAGAATGTTTTGTTACATTTTATTAACTCTGTATCCCGCTCCCTCATTCCCTCCCAAACCCTCCCTTCCTCCCTCATCTACTCACTGCCCCTTTCCAAATCCACTGATTTAGACTTTACCCCTAACCCATTACTGTCATCAAAACATGATTCTATTAATTTGTTTTCTTTATGTTTGTTCAAATATCACAAGTTGATTCTTGACAGTAGTGGAAGTTCTGAGGGCCTCCAGAACCCACAGAGTTGGATTTCTGTCAATGCTCTGGACATTCTTTCATTTCCTTAAATGGTTTTATTTATAAAATCTGAGATCTCTGTGTTTCTCAGAAATTTCATTCATGCTCCACTGAGTGAACTAGTTACTTTTCTTGACATGCTGTTTTCCAAGGTCTCTGTGAAGGCAATTGCCCTTTTCCTTAATTTCTTATGTCTAAAGTCACTTTCTTAGTGGGGACTTTGATAGATAAACTTTGGACAATTCCAAGTTCACCAAATTATTTCTCTTTTTCCATATTCAAAATTAATGTTTTCTATAACATTCAAGATACTGTATAACATGTTTCTATTTTATTTTGCCTTATAAGATGTTTAACCAATCTCAGCAAAAAATTATTTAATTTTTTAAATTAAAATATAAGAAGTACCTGATTTTTCACTTTTGTCTTGTTGAAAGGCATCAGGGATTTGTAAAATATTGAATAAATTCTCAATATTTAGATGAGATCATTAAGTATATTTGGTCAGATGTTATCAATTTATTAAAATATTATAAATAAAACAACTTTGAACCTCAAAGAGAGAAATATTACAATTTATGACAATTTACCCACTTCTGATTCTATAAATTTCAATTAAACTATTAAAGACAGGGAATGTTTGATGAATTTTTAGAGATAAAATTAAAATGTCGCTTAAAATGTTCTACACAAATTCACTAACAATTATAAATACATCTCTATCACTTCATAAAACAACAAATATTAATGTATCAATAACCTCATCAATGCCATAACAACTTAATGTGATTTTTTATTTTGGGTTAAGGATTCTAAATTTCACATAAATTCAGCATAAGAAAGAAGAGAAATAGCCTTCTTTTGCAACCATAACTGCTTCGACAATGATCTCATCTTTTTATAGCTCACTATTATTTTATACATACAGACTAGAGAAGGTGCTCCAACAAAGGAAAAGAAACTATAGATTTAAATAATAACAATCAGATGCCAACGTATGCGGAGTGGAGATATAAGCTCTTTAAACTGAAGAACCACAAGTGACATTACAATTTGTCTAATTTTATGGCATTTTTTGACAGAATTATGTGAGCTTATATACAGAAACAAAATACTAATAAAGTCACACTATTATTAGCATTAATAATCTAGTTACTTTGTTCATGAATCAAAGGTTTTGGATTTTATTGAAAAATTATTAATAAAATTAAGCACATTTTTTGTATTTCTGTTCTACCCAAGAGAGTTTTATACATTTTTGCTACATTACTCTGATAGTTTCTTTCTTTTTTTTTTTTTTTTTTTTTTTTTGAAATGAACCACTTTACTTTAATTTCAGTATAGGATTCTTCAATTAGCAGTTCTTTCCACTGTAGACTATAGAAAATTCCATAACTTTTGTATCTTGACAGCTTCAACAAATTCTTTTTTTAAGCTAATACATAGACATACCAATAATTTATAGGAACAGGAAATGTATGACACATTTGATACAAGTGCACAACTTATTTCTTTCTCTTTTTTTAAAAAATAAATTTTGATAGTTTCTTTTAGAGATTTTTTTATGTCTAAATAAATAAATATATAATATCGAAAAAACATTTTAAACATATAAAATATTTTCACAAGTAATAATGTGTTTTCTGATATTTAACTTTAACATAAGAAAATTATTTATGCTAATGTATAAGGTTTCATATATATAAATATTTTTGTTTTACAGATTAGTCTTATTATTCTTCTTTATTTACTTAAATATCATCTGTAAAGTTTCAGATAATCACACATTTTCTTTTGGGACCCTATCTTTCTGTCTGTTGACCTAAGTGTAGTTGTTTCGGTTGTGCTATTTCCAGGGCAATTATGAGCCAATGCCTACTCACTAAAGAGAGAAAACCAACCGCAGATTAAAGAAAAGGTTGAAACCAGTCTAAGTGAATCAGTTAGTGTATTGGGGTCACTTATGATGCTGTAGGTGAAGTTCTGGAGGACTTCAGAGCTTGTTGGTTGAAATAGTCAAGTAATTAACAAAAATTTCACTTAAAAATATGAAATGCAAAATTTGGTATTCAAAAGATTTAACATTTCAGAATGTTTATGATTATCAAATAATGAATTTTCAGTCTGAACAAAATAATTCACACTAGATATGCCACAAATGATCCTATTGATTATTTTCATGTAATAGTATAATTATAAACAATTTCAACCAGAGCATAAAGAAAGTCTTTGACACTAAATTGTGTGCTCAGGTTCTATTGGGTGCTCTTGCAGATTCTAAAGATAATAGCATGAAAACATCAGTTGCTAAGATGAAGCTCTGTCTGTCTGTCTTTTCTTCTGTCTTTTTCTCTCTCCTTCTCTCTCTCAAATTACTGTCTGATAGACCCAACCCTTACAAATCCCAAGAATGAGCTCAATTAGTAAATAAACAGTCAGGTCATAGAAATCTCTATCATTAACAATAAATTCAATAAACTATTCTCTTCATGTTTTCTGCCTTACTTTAGAAGGTTTAAATTATTTAAGTTTGTCATGCCTATTACACAACTTTGGCTATAATTGCTTAAACATTAAGCAATAGTAGTACGGGGAAAGGATCAAGAGGAAAATTGCAAGTGGTTCAAATATGTTACAATGATAATGGAGATTAGGTTTAAAAGAATATTGCAATCAATTCACAGAACCTAGTATTATTAGGGGTGGAAACAGAGAAGCTTACAGGACAGTATGAATTAACCAAATGTATCAGATAAGGGCTCAGCTTTGAGCCAGTTACAGGCTGTTCTTTCTACACCTAAAAGATTGAGGAACATAAAGAATTCATAATTGTTTTTTTTTTCATTTAATCTTACTCAAACCCAGATGACAATAAGAGACTAAATATGAGTAAGAGTGGCTTCTTACAAAACGCATCCACTTACTAGACCCTACATCTTGATGCAGACAAGGAAATAACTATTAGCATTGCAGCTGCTTTTGGGTAGCTCAGAGGCATAAGAGTGTAAAAGCAGCAATTATATTTAGCAATTATATTTACCACACAGTTCAGGTCAGTAACGAAGCCAGAGTGAGAAATGGATGCCAAGTGTATGTGTAGGGATGGGACACTCTAATCACCCAATCTGAGTGGAGAGTGAACAACTCTGAATGAATGCCGAATAATAATTTTGCTTCTTGAGCAAGTGGGACATTTATAAAGTCTATGAAATTTCCATTTTCTCAGCCCAAAAATACCCCAAGAGAACTAGATAGACTCATAAAAATTACCTCAGTCTTTTTCATTTTCTGCCA